CACTAATAACGATGTTTGGTTAATTATCCACATCAAAAGTTTTATGTCTTTACGAGAACCGTAGTTTCATTCATAAAAGTCTTAACTATTTTTCGAGAARCTTGAAAACATAAGCTTACTAGATTTTGAAAATTCAATTTAACCAGTTTTCATTTTGTTAACAACAAAAGTTTTTGAAAAACTAATAAGTTTACATTCATTTATACTTGACAAGAACAACTGAGGCAAAATAGAAAATAACGCAAAATGCAAGGCAAATACAAAATAAAATTTTCTTTGTCAGTAGTTTGGTATTTGGCAATGTTTTTTAATATTTTCTTAGCTTTTGAAAGTGAAAGACAAGGTACCGCTCTTTATACAATAACTTATCTCTCAACAACACAAATTTTAGCTCATTTTTATAATCAAGTACTAGGTCGAAAAGCTCAATAAACAGTTGAATATTTGGTGTAATTTTAAAACTCATTCAATATTTAGATAAATTATCCGTAGAAAGATATAAAATTATTGAATGAAATTCAAAATGAAAGTACTCTTACCATAATAACAAAACAGATACGCTTTTTTCGCACGTTTGTCATTCTAGTTTGTTGCTCGTTTGCCGGTAATTTTAGGAATGTTATCTACACTAAATAAAACAAAATAGAAAATGTCCTAATCTCTATCTTCACACTGTGGCGAAATCTTTTTTTCCATGATTTCTTCAATAAATTTTTGTTTCGTATTTACAATATCTACAAAAAAATGATAGTTAAAAAGCTCGTTGTTAAAAATGTCGTCATTTTCCAAGTGACGTGTGATTTGAAAGCTCGACCAATCAGAAACGCGATGTACACCTGGCGGGCGACACTTTTAGCGTTGCATAGTTTACCATATTCTATACCTATGGTGCTCCGCTATAATGCTGGATATTATGACTCCAATGACTGAGTGTAAAGAAGTATTCCTTGTGCATGGCTTTATTCATAGGGTTGGCTATGGGCTTTATTCAATGTTGGTTATTATGACTGCAATGGCTGAGTATAAAGAAGTATTCCTTGAGCATG